TTTTTTTTTTTTTTGTACCGGGGATCGAACTCAGGTCCTTCCGCCTGCGAGGCAGGCGGCGGAACCACTGAGCTAAATCCCCGGCCCCCAGATGGTGTACTCTTAAGTGAAATAAACCAGACACCCCTGTTTAAATGCCACATTGTGTCTCTGGTGTGAGAAACTGAATGTGGAAATAAGGACTGAGATGTACAACGGATGTTGGGCAACGGGAAGAAAGTGTTCACATGGGAAGGGGAGCAAGGGAGGAGGGAGGTAGAAAGGAAGGCAGGGACAAGAAAACAGTGAAACTAGAAGGACAAAGTGGAAACAAAGCTTCTGTCCCAGAGCCCCTGACGGTGCCCAGGGCCCATTCATCCTCAGGCTTGTCTAGGCCACACGACTCACCCCTGGCGCTTGGTGGGCAATACACGCTTCAGGCTCCTGCCAGGGAGACACAGGAGCTTTCTCTGAGACCCATCCCCCTCCAAGCTAAGTGCTACAGGGTCTCAGGCAGGGCCAGTCCTGCTCAAAGCCCTCCTGTGGATTGCCAGCAAACTGCAAGAGAGCTGGGACACTGGGAGTTGGTCTCTGAAAATGCTGTTTTCACCACCTGGCCTGGCCGCCTTCCTTCCCTCCACGCCCTCAGCACCGGGCTCCCCAGGCCTCCACTGGGAGCACCATCGCCCGAGTCCATGCACAAGTGCGTCCCCGGAGGCTCAGCCTGGACATCAGCTTCCTGACAAGCTGTCCCTGCTCACCCCTAGCTTTCCCGCAGCCGCCTCTATCTCCTCACCGCCTGCCGGCCTCTTCGGTACTGCTCACTCCCAGTGCCAGCATGCACAGCACACGGCTGCTGGCTGGAGGACTAGTGAGGTAGGAGCAAGCTTTCTGGTAAGAGGGTCCGTCCACAAAGCTACGGACTGAATTTTCTTCTTTTCAAGACAGCCAACGGAGACAGCTTACTGAGATCCAGGGATGCTCTAGCCCTGAGCTACAACCCCAGCCCTTTGTATTTCTTGAGACAGCGTCTTGCTAAGTTGCCCAGGCCAGCCTTTAACTTGCAATTCTAAGTATCAGGTATTACTGGCATGTACCACCATGCTTGGCTTCTAACTCTTTGTATTCTTGTTTTTGGTACCGGGGATCGAACTCGGGACCTTGCACCTACGAGGCAGAACCACTGAGCTAAATCCCCAGCCCACTATTTGTATTCTTGAGGCTCCACTTAGTGTAACAGATGCCTAACTGTATCAGTCCCTGTGCCACAGTGGTGAGGGAGAAAGCTCATTTCTGGTGGCTGCAGGACTGCCTAGCTCTTGCTCTAGCCTGCTGCTCCCTGGACATGGTTCCCAGGGCCACCCCAACCCCCTGCAGCCAGCACACCTGGAAACCACCTCCCTGAGTCTGGCTCCTTGCCTGTTTGCCTGAAGGCTTTGGGAAGAAAAAGCTGCCATGCAGGTGGGCTTCTGGGTCCAGTGGACCCTGATGGCCACCAAGAAGACACGAGAGGATCCCGTGGGCACTCACCATGTTTTGTTCAGCAACAAGGCACTCAATGAACCGCTCAGGATGCTCCTTCTTGAATATCTCTGAGAAGGTGTAGTTCTTGGTGCCACTATCCAGCACAACGACTCTGTCGTTCGAGTAGCCCAGCTTAGCCAGAGCCAGACCACATGCTTTGCGAGTATCCATCTAGAAGGGTAAAGTGGCAAAATTTCCTGGAATGTACTTAGAAGAGAGATATGTTATCCATCTTGAAGAAATTAAAATGTATCATTTACAAATAATCTTCCTTGTAGCTCAGTGGTTCCGGGGCCTGCCTCCCAAGCTCAAGGTCCCGAGTTCGATCCATGGTGCCAAAAACCCCCACCAAAGAATACAAATAATCTTCCTTAACATTGTAAACTTGGATTGTGAGCCAATCGTAAAATGGTACAAGGCTTAGGATCAATTTCTCAAAATTCCATCTCACACATGGGTAATGTGGTGCTCATCTTTTTCTCAAATTATGATTTTTTTTTTTTAGTTCACATACTCCTAAACCTCACTTCCCGAGCAGGAAAACACTCTAAAACTCAACGGATTTCAGACATTAGCAGTTCTCACTGTAGTTTTCAAGAAACTTTGCTACACTCATGGATCTACTGTCTAAAATTCAGACAGCTTTTTATTTGAAATATTTGCCTCAACTAAATTTGCTCTCTCTGTCCCATCCAGGTAGCTTACTAATTTTTTTTTTCTTTGTGATTCTGCAGATTGAACTTTTCGTCTTCACACTGAGTTATATCCCCAGGCCTTGCTGTGAGACAAGATCTTACTAACTTTCCCAGGCTGGACCCAAACTTGCCATCCTCCTGCCTCAGCTTCCCGAGTAGCTGGGATTACACACATGTGCCACCACACCCAGCCACGTAATTCTTTTTAAAAGAACAGGGTTTTTTTTTTTTACTTCCCTGTGTAATCCAGAGAGGAAGTTAAAAAAAAAAAAAAAGGCCAAGCCAGTCCATCTTTAACAGTAGACAGAGAATAGCGGCAGTTTCATGTACACTGGACCATCAGGGCACCATAATATATATGAGTTTCCGGGACGGGGCGGGGCTGCTCCTCCTAGGCCTCCTCTCCGAGGCAAGGCCAACACCGGGGTCTCTGGGAAATTGGGACTCAGTGCAAGGCCGGCTGCGTATTTGTCGGTTACGGGAGGGGCTGATCTCCCGCTTCAGCCTCCCTTTTGACAAAGGTAAGCGGGCCGAGACGCCACCATGGCTAATGCCTGCGGTGCCTGGCGCCTAGGAGACCCGGAGTGCCAGTCCTGGACTCCGCAAGCTAGGGAACGCCTGCGCGTCCCCCCCAAGCCCCCCCAAGCCCCACCCAAAAGTCATTCTTTCAACTCCTGTATTTTAATTACAGTAATTCCTATGGCAAGAGTCCCACGCCCAAGATGGCCAGCCGGAAGCTGGCTCCTCAAACCTACGTGTCCAAACCTCATTTGCTAGCCGGCCGCCCATGGTTCGGGTGTCGTCACTCTCTGCTTTGCGCATGTCTCGGACCGCTCCCACACGCAGGCGTAATAGGCCGCTCTATCTATGGTTCAGACGTCTGATAGAGCGCCCACTCGCTTTCGCTGCGACTCTATGGTTTCTGCGTGTGATGCTATTCGCCTATATAAGTCACGCGCAGGCGTAGGTGCGCCTCTTTTCCTCCGGCTCGGTGAGTACATGTACCTTAGAGGTTATTTGATGCCTTTTCCTTTTTGCCGTGGCCTGAAGCTTTTGGTCATTTTCTGTTCCGATTTTACTTGTCTCGTCACAGCCCTCAAGACCCTTGGTGTCGCCATGGGACGCCGTCCCGCCCGGTGGTGAGTGCCGAGTCAGCTCGAATAAGCTGTTGAGAAATGAGGGATTATTGCTTTTGGCGCCTTGGACAACCTTTGGGTGGAGCCTCCGTCGCGGCCTATTCTTGTCCTGGGATATGAGTCCATGTTTCCTCTAACATTTCCCTGGTCGCCTTTATTTCTCGTTTATACTATATTTTCTTTTAAAAGTTCAAGCTTTTCGTTGATTTTGTTGTTGGGGTGGCGGGTTGGCCCGAGACTGGAAGTGGAGCACCAGCGTTGAGCTGGAAGCGATCTCCGCCTGCATCTAGCCCTCTGTTCGGGACGTTCCCCTCGTTCTAGGAGGTGGATGACTCTCAGGGTCATTGTTTCCGAATCTTGCCTGAATTTCCCGGAGTCCACCGTGTGCTCTTAATCGGATAGCAAAGACAATTCGGGCGCATTCGCTTCTTGCCCTGCAGGGGGCGCCTGGCGCGGAGGCGGATTCCATGCCACGTGCCCGGAAGTCAGCTTGAGTGCCTGGACTGGTGTACGGTGCGCCCACTGTAGTGCGCGGTACTGTGCAGAGCTGTGGGTTGTTTCTAAGCTGGGAGGTGGGAAGTAAACTGTTTGCTTTATCAGGAACAAACGAGGGTGGTAAGGGAAGTATTGACTCTTTAGTGTTAGTCTGGGTGTTTTCTCTTGGGGCCCCCTGTTGGAGTATCGTTTTACAGCAAATGTAGAGCCTTTTTCTGCGAATGGAGACAGCTTATTGGTGGATATTCATTTCTTTTGGGCCTCTTGGTTGTTTTTTTTTCCTCTTTTCATGTTGGGCTGGGGACTTAATTAAGTGCTAAAGAGGGCCTGGGCATGATCCTCATCACCTCAGAAGAAATAAAAAACGCTTTGGGATGTCTGCCTCAAAATTTCTGGGCTCAAGAGATCCTCCTGCCACCACTACCTGGTTGTTGGGATGCACTAAGGGTGTGCATCCACCTGCTTCACGATTGTTTTTTTGTTCGTAGTACTAGAGGCTCGCCCTGAGCCGCATTCTCAGCCCTCTTGTGCTGAGTTTCCCAGGCCAGCCTGTAAGGTGAGATTCCTCTACCTCAGCCTCCTGAGCAGCTGAGATTCCAACCATACGCTGCCCTTGGGCTGTGATTGTTTAGGGAACATTTCAGCAGTTTGAGTTCCTTTGTGACTCGTCTTTTTTCCTATGCAGTTACCGGTATTGTAAGAACAAGCCGTACCCAAAGTCCCGCTTCTGCCGAGGTGTCCCTGGTAAGTATCAGGAGAGCTCCAGACCTGGTTTGGCCACACTGCCTCTGCTGATCCTGCCATGCCCTCCCACACTCACCCAAGTCTTTTCCAGATGCCAAAATCCGCATCTTTGACCTGGGGCGGAAGAAGGCAAAAGTGGATGAGTTCCCACTGTGTGGCCACATGGTGTCCGATGAATATGAGCAGCTCTCCTCCGAAGGTTAGGCGGCCTCCTTTGCCGATGACGCTCCCTGGCACCCATGGGACCCTACGCCACAGCCCTTCTGCAGCCTTGCCCAGGTAACAAGGCCCTACCAAGTGACCTGCACTATTTCCTCTCCCCTCCCAGCTCTGGAGGCTGCCCGGATTTGTGCCAACAAGTACATGGTAAAAAGCTGTGGCAAAGATGGCTTCCATATCCGCGTGCGGCTCCACCCTTTCCATGTCATCCGCATCAACAAGATGTTGTCCTGTGCTGGCGCTGACAGGTAAGTTGGGCTTGTGTCTTTTCCTGTAAGTTGGGGACCCCTGTGCTGGATCACATCTAGTAAGGGTGCAGAGGTGACTCTACATAAGTTCAGCTGCCCTTGGTGATTAAATTTTTAAAATCATGATAAGAGCTAGCAAATGGGTTTTAATGGACATGTGCCCATTCTACAACCAGAGTGGGCTTCCTCCCAGCAAAACCCAAAAAGCACGGGCAAGTCCTGGCTTCCTCTGGGCCACAGATAGCACTTCAGTGCTCCAGGCTTCTCTGCTTAAAAAAATCTTGTTCCAGAAGCTGGGCATGGTGGTGCACATTTAATATCTCAGCACCTGGTAGGCTGAGGCAGGAATTCAAGGCCAACTTGGGCTACATAGTGGGAGACCCTGTCTCAAAAAAAAGTCTGGCAGCTGGTAGTTAGGGGGGTGCCTGGGCCCACCGCACCATTCAGGGCTTCACACTTTGGGGGCGGTGGTCTCAGGCTGCAGTCAATTAAGCCGACTGGGTTCCTCTGCTGGTAGGTGCCCAGTGTGCAGTGGCTGCGAACAGCAACATCCTTGGTAGTGTAAGTGGCCTGTTGCTTGTACGGGCTGCTCCAAGGGACCTTGGAGACACTGATTCCAGGTGGATGTTCCTTGTCTGACCTCCTGCCATCCCTAATGCAGGCTCCAGACAGGCATGCGAGGTGCCTTCGGGAAGCCCCAGGGCACAGTGGCAAGGGTTCACATTGGACAGGTCATCATGTCCATCCGCACCAAGCTGCAGAACAAGGAACATGTGATCGAGGCCTTACGCAGGGCCAAGTTCAAGTTCCCTGGCCGCCAGAAGGTAAGCAGCACCACAGTTCCTGGCTGCAGTTTTCCACACTGAACTAACCCTAACTCTTTGGTGTCTCCGTAGATTCACATCTCCAAGAAGTGGGGCTTCACCAAGTTCAATGCAGATGAATTTGAAGACATGGTGGCTGAGAAGCGCCTTATCCCTGATGGCTGTGGGGTTAAATATATCCCGAACCGAGGCCCCCTGGACAAGTGGCGGGCCTTGCACTCCTGAAGGCTTCCACTGTGCTGCCCCTCCTAACAAGTTCATCAATAAATCTTATCTCTGCCCCACTTAACTTGTGTTCTTTTTTTTCCGGTACTGAGGATTGAACTTGGGACCAAAATCCCCGGCCCACTTGTGTTCTGATATTCAGAGGGCAGGGGTGGGAAGAAGGCCTGCAAACTGTTAACAGCTTTTACAGGCAGGGCCAGGCTTTTTCCCAGGTGCTGCTGGATTAGCCCACGCCAGGCTGTTTTCCTCCCAAGTGTGATTTTTGCCATCTGGCTTCCCCAGTCCAGGGCTTGGCAGTGCTGGGCCTGATGATGCTGTTTTCCTGCCTGTCTGTAGCGGCTTGGCTCCCAAAACTTAGGCTGCTCCCCAAGGTCCTGTGTACCCAAAACCCACAGTGGAGTTTGCTGTGTCCTGGCCAGGGTCTGTCCTGGACCCCAATTCTAGGAGAGTTCCAGGGGTCTGGTTTCAGAGCTGGGGCTCAGACACCTTTCATTTCTGTTTTGTTTTTTGGGTACCGGGGATTGAACTCTGGTCCTTGAACTTGCAAGGCAGGTGGTGGAACCATTGAGCTAAATCCCCAGGCCCACCTTTCATTCCTTATAACCTTCACTTAGAGCTATTTCCAGTGTTGAAGATTACCTTTATTTTTGACCTTGCTCTAGGTTATAGATAGGTTTTCCAATCTGTCAGCTTGTAAACAGCCTTGGCACTGCTCCTTGTGCCCAGCACTGTGTCTCATAGGCTACCCTTGTTGCAGGACAGTGGGGTGGGTGGGCTTTTGGGGGCCCTTAGCTCGTCCTGTGTCTTACCCGCTTAACCCGTGAGCCCTGTGCACAACAAAGGGAGCGCTCCACGAGCCTTATCCCTCCAGTTGGGCTTTGCTCCCAGGGTGTTGGTTTTCCTTTAATCATAGACTTGAGAGCCCTGCAGGGTTTGGCTGAGGGGAGAGGTGGAGATCCTGCCCCTTCCCACACTGACTGCCTGAGGGGCTGGCCAGGGTCCAGCCTGGCTCCCAGCTTCAACCCAACTAAACCATGCAAGCCAACCTAAACAGGCAAATGAGGGGGGCACAGATGAAAGCCCCTCAGGGGTTGCTTCGGCCCCAGGTAGGGGGACAGAGGCCAGGGTTTGAGTCGGGCACCGTGCTTGACTGAGGGCCCAGGAGAGGCAGCAGCAGGGACAGCAGCAGCAGGGTGGCCAGGCTGGGGGGCTGCACACGGTGTGGCGCCTGATCCAGCTCCACCTCCACTGGGTAGTGGTCACTGATGCCGAGGGCCTGGGAGGGTGAGGATGCACTTTAGGCGGGGTGGGGGGTGGGAGCGTGCGTGTGTGTGCGCGTGCGTGCAGCCCTGCTCGCCCTCACCCCAGCCCGTCCCACCTCCCAGCCCTTACCTCCTCCTCGGAGAGCCGGAAGCTCTGGGGGAAGTTGAAGGCGGCAGAGGCGCGGATGAGCCCCCAGCAGGCCTCGCCATGCAGCACGATGCGGTCGTAAGTGCAGTTGGTGCTGGCCCGCACCGTGGTGTCCTCACCGTCGGCGATGGCCCAGCGGAAGCCCGCCTCAGTGCGCAGCAGCAGTGTGCTCAGGCGCTTTTTGGCCAGTGAGGCGCAGTCGGCATTGAAGTCCCCAAGCAGGATGACATCCTAGGAACAAGAGGCATCAGGCCTGGCTTTGGGGCCAGCCTGTCCCCACCGGTGGCCCCCGTGCCAGCTGCCTGGCCTGACCTTGATCTGCCAGCGCTGGGCGACATCCAGGAACACTTCATGGAGGGCGTTCAGCTCGTTCTCCACGTCCTTTGGGGTCGTGTGCAGTGGGACCAGGACCACGCTGGGAAGGACTACAAGGCGCGGGAGCCAGGGTCAACACCCAGCCCAAGCCTCTCCTGACCTCCACCCCCTCTGTCCCATGGGAGCCAGCCAGACTCTCCCACCTTTGTCCCCTCCTACTTTTGCTAGGCAAAGTGAACTGGGCCACAAAGGGTGCCCGGGCAAATAGGTCATCCTTGTCTTCATACTGGTAGAAATTCAGGACTTGGGTCTTGTCGGACCTGGGAGGACAAAGGACAGGAAGCAGTTGCCCTGAGTCACTGATTTGGGGCCAGGGATTTAGCTCAGTGGTGCCGCCGCCTGCCTCAAAAGCACAAGGGCCTGAGTTCAATCCCCGGTACCAAAAAAAAAAGAACATTTAGATCCTAAGTCACTGATTTGGTTTTTTTGGTTTATTGGTTTTTTTGAGACCAGGTCTCTCTGTGTAATTCAGGCTGGACTTGAACTCACAGTGATCCTCCTGCCTCAGCCTTCAGAGTACTGGGATGACGTGGACCACCATGCCTGGCATGCTGGTTTTAGCTTGCATGTGCCAAGAGCACAGGTGGCACTTGGATGGCCTCTCCTGTTTCCTGGCCCTGCCTGTTTCATGTTGGCACAGCCTTTTCTCTAGAAGGTGGTTTATTCTTATTTTTATTTTTTTGGTACCGGGGAGCGAACTCAGGACCTTGCACTTTCGAGGCAGGCGCTGGAATCACTGAGCTAAATCCCCAGCCCCTATTTTGTTTTTTGAGACAGGGTCTCACTATGTAGCCCAGGCTGGCCTAGAACTCTCAGCGACCCTCGTGCCTCAGCATCCAGGGTGCTGGGATGACAAGCCATCTCAGAGTAGGGTCAGGGCTGCCCTGCCACCTCTCACCCTGTGCTTACCGGTAGATGTACACATACTTCTCCTTGTACGTGCTGCGCCCGAGCTGTGAGCTGTTGAGGAAGCCATAGCACCGGGAGCCATCAAATTTGCTGCAGAACAGAGAAGTGGAGTCAGGGCCTGCAGTACGGTGGCCCCCACTTGGATGCACAGAGTCCTGCACAGCATCTGAGTTTGTTTGTTTGGTTTTTTGGTACCGGTGATTAAACTCAGGACCTTGAGCTTTTGAGGCAGGCGCTGGAACCACTGAGCTAAATCCCTGGCCCCCTTTTTTTTTTTTTTTTTTTTTTTTTTGAGACAGAGTCTCACTATGTAGCCCAAGCTGCCCTCGAACTCATGGAGATCCTCCTGCCTCAGCCTCCCGAGTGCTGGGGTTACCGTCTGAGTTCTTGCAGCAGGAAGGAGATGGTCTTGTTGGAGGAGTCCACCACCTCCTGCAGTACCATGATGTCACAGCGAGCCAGGATCTGCAGGACACGGGAAGGCCAGCCCTGCTCAGAGCTGGGCCTGGGCGCAGAGGGCAGTGGGACTCAAAAGTGTCACCCATGGTACAGAGGGAAAAGACTGATTGATGACAGCAAGCACCATCCTCTGGTGGCCCGGATGTCCCCTCCCCGCTGGGGCATGTGCCAGATCAGCAGGGACTGGGCTTTGGGTCATGGTACTTGGGGCACAGAGCACGCCACCGCCACTGTACCTGTACTAAGGTGTCCTTCACTTGCTCCCTCGTCGCCTTGGCCAGTGTCAGCCGGTGGGCATTGAAGGCGCAGATACGAAAGGCCTCAGCCTGGCCCGCCAGAAGGAGGAGCAGGAGAGTGGCAAGGCCGTGCATGGCTGCACATGTGTAGGGCCCTGTGGAATGCGGGTCCTGGCTGGGTGGCGCTGGCCCTGCTGCAGCCCTGCAGGTGCCCACCTCCCTCCCAGGAGAGCCCTGCCAGTGTCTGCCACAGGGCCGGCCCACACAGCAACACACGAAGGGGCTGGGGATTTAGCTCAGTGGTTCCGCCACCTGCCTCGCAAGCACAAGGACCCAAGTTTGATCCCCAGTACCAAAAAAAAAAAAAAAAATTTGCCAGCACACGAGGCACAGGTTAATGACAGTTCAGTGACCTGGAGCATTTTCCCACTGTTGTGTGGTCACCTCCTCCCACCCCCAGAATGTTTCCATCTTCCCAAATTGAAATTCTGTGTTCTAACACTAAGAAGAACTTCCACAAAGGTCCTGCACCCAGGAGACTGAGGCAGGAGGATCGCCATGAGTTTGAGGCCAGCCCGAATTGCATAGTGAGACCCTGTTTCAAAAAAACAAGAAAAGTGCCTGGGATTTAGCTCAGTGGTTCCACCGCCTGCCCCACAAGTGCAAGGTCCCGAGTTTGATCCCCGGTACCAAAAAAACCCCAAGAAAACATAACTCCCACCCTTACCTCCAGGCCCTGGAACTCTCCATTCTGTGGGTCGCTACACATTTGACCACACTAGGGACCTCAGAGAAGTGACACAACATAGTATCAGTCCTTTTGTGACTATCTTGTTCATTGATAGCGTGTCCTCATGGTTCACTCATGTTGGCTAGCAGGTGTCAAAATGTCCTTCCTTTTCAAAGCTGAATACTATTCCATTGTATCAAGGACATTTTTTTATCTACTCGCCCACCCAGGGACACTGGGTTCCACCTCCTTTTTGGCCACTTTGAATAACAATGCTGTATAAATATCTTGATTTTTTGTTTTTTGAACAATTAATTATTAATGGTCTTGGGTCTTTCTTTCTTTTCTTTTCTTTTTTTGGTACTGGGGATCGAACTCCTCGGGACCTTGCACTTTCGAGGCAGGCGGAACCATTGAGCTAAATCCCTGGCCTGTTTTTTTTTTTAAATCAGGGTCTTGCTATGTAATTCAAGCTGGCCTGAAGCTCACTGTGTGGCCCAGGCTGGCCTTGAACTTTTGGTGATCCTCCTGCCTCAGCCTCCTGAGAGCTGGGATTACAGGTGTGCACCACCACACCCAACTAGATTTCTTGTTTTTGATGGCTTTGGGTTCATACTCAGAAGTGGAATTGGTTGGAATTGGTTGGGGCCGGGGATGTGGCTCAGTGGCGTAGCGCCTGCCTGGCAAGTGCAAAGTCCTGAGTTCAAGTTCCAGTACCCCCCCCAAAAAAAAGAAGAAGTGGAATTGGCAGGTCACATGATGATTCTATTTTGAATTTTTTGAGAAAATGCCATACTGTTTTCCATAGCTGTTGTACCATTTCCATTACCGCTCACAGTGCACAAAGTCTAGCCTCCTAAACTGCTGCTCACCCACCGATTGCCCTCCCACTGCCCAGCCCCCACCTGAAGAAGGCCCAGCTTCTCCCTTCCATTAGCAAATAAGGAACCTCTTTATGCACTGCTGGCCTCGAGGGCATATGCATTTAAAATGACCCCAGATGGCTAGGCACAGTGGTGCACAGTCTGTATTCCCAGAACTTGGGAGGCTGAGGCAGGAGGACTACTGCAAGTTTGAGGCCAGCCTGAGCTACATAGTGAGAGCCTGTCTCAAATAAAGAAATTAATTAATAGTTGAGCCATCCCAGATGTGGCCACATCACCTCAGTGCAATGTGTGAGGGGCACCTTCCCATCACTGGGAAGCCTTTGTTGTTCACCTTGCTGGCTCAAGCTCTTTTCTTCCTGAACATCTTTCAGTTGTCTATGTCTTGGTCTCACCTTGAACTTGCCCTACCTTTTTCTTTTTTATACGGGGGATTGAACCTAGGGCCTTCACTGAAGCACATCCCCAGCCCTTTTAAAATTTGTTTTGTTTTTTGAGACAGAGTCTCGCTATTAATTCAGGCTGGGCCTAAACTCACTATGTAGCCCAGGCTGGCCTCGAACTCATGGTGATCCTCCTGCCTCAGCCTCCCGAGTGCTGGGATACAGGCGTGAGCCACCACACCCAGCTCTTTTTTAAAATTTTTATTTTGAGTCAGTCTTGCTACATTGCCCAGGCTGGGTTTGAATTTGCGATCCTCCTGCCTGAGCCTCCCCTCGTGCTGACATACCAGGTGTGCTCCTGCAGCCCTGGTCTTAAACCCATGCTTTCTCAGCTACCTCTGCCCTTGCCCTCCAGTCACTTCTGCCTCTGTCTGTTCCTCTCTCTCTTCCCATCGCCCCCGCTCTGTGTCTGCACCTGCTGTGTCACTCACGCTAATCTGGGATATATTTGGACAGCCCTGTGCTGCTACCCGCGGGACTGGAGGCCACGGGAGAGAGGGACAAAGAGACGACGGTTGTGGCCCCAGGTCAGCGCTTAGCCCCGGGGCCTCCAACGCCAGCCACCGCCCCAGCCCTGGCCTCCGTCGCCTCTCTACACGTTCCCTCCCTCCCTCCGCCCGCCCGCAGGGGTCCCGTACCTGTCACACCCGTCCATTTCCACAGTCCATTTCCACGCTTGCCTTACCTTAAACGGATCGCACACCTGGCAGGATCGCAGCGCCCGCCTCGGTGGGAACCAGAGCCCAGAGAATGAGGAAGCTATGCTCCCAAGCCGAGCCACCCCGGTCGGGCGCGCTCCAGCCCCAGTCGCCGGCCAGTGGCCCGGGCCCCGCCCGCAGGGAGGGTGGTGCCGGCCTGGGAACTGCCAAGCGGCCCGCCCAAAGCCCGCCCTCCCGGGCGGGGTGGAACTGGGCGTCGGCCCAGGCGGGGCCTGTGGAGCCTGAGAGCCACGGGAGCGGGGTTGGCCCGGCCGCCGCCGGCCTGCAGAGTGACCTGGGCCAGCGCCGGGGCGGTAGGAGACGGTGCCGAAGGAAGCCCCGGATCCGTCCAGGTCCCCATTGGAGGGTTACCAGTGTGACCGTGCAGTACAATGTCCCCGCCGGGCAGAAGTTGGCAAGCTTTTGGTTTGATTTGGGGCCGGGGATGAACTCAAGGCTTCCCGTATGCTAGGCAAATGCTCTGTCACCACACTACAGACCAGACCCTTGGAAAAAATGTTTAGGTCAATGAAATTATGGTTTGAGCCGGGCATGATGGTGCAGCACTCGGGAGGCTGAAGCAGGAGAATTGCCGCAAGTTACACAAACCTTGATAGGGATGGGTTTTAACCATGCTTCCTTTTGGTACAGGAGATTGAACTCAGGGCCTTCGCACTGAGCTACATCCACAGGGCTTTTTCATTATTATTTTTAAAATTTTTATTTATTTATTTATTTTGGTACTGGGGATGGAGCTCAGGACCTTGTGCTTGCAAGACAGGAGTGGAGCCACTGAGCTACATTCCCGCCCCCACAGACCTTTTTAAAATTTTGAGACAGGGTTTTGCTTAAATTGCTCAGGCCGTGCTCGAAAGTGAAATCAATCTTCCTGCCTCAGCCTCCCAGAGTGCTGGGTTTACAGGGATGCACCACGTCACCCGGCAGGGACGGGACTTTTGGGTGAGAAGTATGTTTTGCAAGGAAAGGTAGTGGTTGACAGTGTTGTTAACATACACTCTACAATACATATATAATATTTGACATCTTATTCTTTACCTTACTATATTAGCATGTCCTATCATTACATTCTATTTTACAGACATATATACATACTATATGACATAGTCATGTGATATCACAATTAATGTAATTTTTTTTGAGACAGGATCTTGACATGTAGTTCAGGCTACCCTGGAACTCATGGCAGTCCTCCTGCCTCAGCCTCCCAAGTGCTAGGATGACTGGTGTGGACCACCACGCCGCCTGGCGCAATTATGTAACGTTGTATTTTTGTTATTGTTGTTTTAGTTTTTTTGACAGGGTCTTGCTATGTAGTTTAGGCTGGCCTGGAACTTGCGAGGATGCTCCTGCCTCAGCCTCCTGAACGCTGAGATGACAGGCATGCGACACCACGCCCAGCTGTAAAATTGTATGTTCATAATTATGTAAAACTACATAGTGGAATATATAGGTGCACGTATATCATTTATATTATATGTCACATAAGACAGTCCAAAATATAAAATGGTTAATTCCATATCATGCGAATTTTACCTCAATAAAAAGGAAGGGACCAGGGATTTAGCTCAGTGGCACTGAGCCTGCCTCGCAAGAGCAAGGTCCTGAGTTCAATCCCCGGTACCAAAAATAAATAAATAAATAAATAATAAAGGGGACAAATAAAAGGCTCCCGCAGCCTAGACTTTGGTCATCTCAGGTAATCGTGCTGTGCAGCCCCTGTTACCTACACACTTCAGTTAGGGACCCTGACCCCAAAGGCGCCGCAGGCTGAGGATCGGAGGCCGGAATCCAGCAGGGCCGCGCGGGAGCGCGCAGGATCAGCCTGGCCTCGTCCCCGCTGCCGTCAAGCGCCTGTGCGTTTCACGACAGGTGGGTGGGAGCCGGACGCCTTCTCCTGATCGCTTTCCGGCGGTGCGCAACTGCCAGGCTGCCACTGTGCGGGTGCGTCCCGCTGGTCGCTGCGATCCTGGCTTCTGATCCTGGCGGCGGGTCCTCTGTGGCGCGGCTCTGGCCCCATCTACGAGGTGGCCCTGGCCCGGGTCCCCGTCGCGCCGATCCGCGGCTCCCGTTTGTGCTCGAGGCTGTCCGAGACCCCCGGCGACTGAGGACACGGACCCAGGCCGGCCGGCCCCGCGGGCTGCCCAGGGCGGCGCAGTACCGGCGGCGGGCGGCGCCGGAGGCCATGCCCCTCCATGTGCGCTGGCCGTTCCCCGCCGTGCCGCCGCTCACCTGGACCCTGGCCAGTAGCGTCGTCATGGGCCTGGTGGGCACCTACAGCTGCTTCTGGACCAGTGAGTGGCCCATGGCCAAGGCAGGGTCTGTCCGGTGTCCCCACGCTGGCCAGAGCTGGAGCTTGGGGTTTGGGGCAGCGGTGGCACATCCCCGAGGAAGTTAGCCTCAGGCAGGTGGGAGGAGGCCGAGACTGAGACCCCGTCGTCCCCTCAGAGTACATGAACCACCTCATCGTCCATAACAAGGAGGTGCTGTATGAGCTCATCGAGAACCGAAGCCCCACCACGCCCCTCATCACCGTTTCCAACCACCAATCCTGCATGGACGATCCTCACCTCTGGGGTAATTGGGCCGGGTGCTGGGCACAGGGAGGTAGAGAAGGAAGCCAGGTGGGCTGGGCCGGGCTGGGCAAGCAACACCAGCACGGATCACTGCCCACTGGGCTCCTTGCACAGCCCTGGAATTCCTAGGTCGGAGATGCCCCGCCTCCTCGGGCAAGTTGCCTTTGTGGTCCCTTGGGCATTCCCTTGGGGTCTCAGAAATGTGAAAGGAACAAGGAAGTGGCTATAGGGCAAGGCTGAGGCAGGAGGGTCACTACGAGTTTGAGGCCAGCCTTGGCTTCATAGTGAGACCCTGTATCAAAAAACAAACAAAAAGAATGGGAATTGTCAGGATGTAGCAGGGAGGTAGGTAGATCATACTCAGCGATGAGCAAGATTATAGGGGCCAGGGGGAAGGAACTTGGAGGTCCAGCCCAAAAGTCTAGAAGCTGCCACTGAGATGAGGGAACCAAGGACCCGTCCTGAAGGAAGGTGAGTCAGGCATGAAGCCTCTTCTCTCCTTACCTAGGGATCCTGAAGCTCCGCCACATCTGGAACCTGAAGCTCATGCGCTGGTGAGCAGGCCCTGCCCTCCGGGCCTTCCGCAGATTTACCCCCGCCCCCAGGTGGCAGCCGAAGTCCAGACAGGGCACAGAGTGCGGCCCACAGGCCCTCAACCTGGGTGGCAGCGGTGACTGGGCCTGTCCTTGCCCCAGGACCCCAGCAGCAGCGGATATCTGCTTCACCAAGGAGTTCCACTCGCGCTTCTTCAGCCTGGGCAAGTGCGTGCCTGTGTGCCGAGGTGAGCCCTGCCTGTGGTGTCCGGGATCCTGGGGGTGGGCATGCTGCACCTTGCTTCTGTCTCCGAGTGGCCCGTGTGTGACAGGCTGCCTGGGAGCCAGGGGTGGCACCGCTATGGGCTGGGGTGGTAGGTACGCACCACCACAGCGGACCTGGGGAAGGCCATTTTATCCCCATTCTCCAGATTGGGCTGTGAGAGCTTAAGCGGCTGGCCAGGTGACACAAGGTGAGAGGTGGCAAAGCCACAGTTCAAATCCAGGTGGCTCTCTCCTCTGGGGAAGCAGAGAGGAAGGGAAAGGCGTTCGGAAGGTGGCCACACAGGTGCCGGGTACTGGAGAGGTAGAAAACTGTGGTTGTAGGAAGAATGGGGAGGTTCTGGAATAATCTGGTTAAGAATTTTGGGCTCTTATCCAGGTGTGGTGGCCCATGGCTGTCACCCCAGCCTCTGGGAGCCTGAGGCAGGAGGATCACCATCAGTTTGAGGCCTACTCGGGCTGCGTAGTGAGACCTTGTCTCAAAAAACTAAAAAACAACCACAAAAACCTGGGATTCAGGGGAGGGATCAGTTGAGGTTCAGCTGCAGACATGGAGCTGAGATTCCAGAGGAGGTGTGGAGAGAGCAGAAGTCCTGGACAGAAGCCACCAAGGTGCCAGAGAATGACAGCCAAAGAGAAAAGTGAACCAGGGGCCTGTGTAGCATGGATCCCATTGGTGACCCTAGAGAAGCCATTTCCATGGAGTGATGGCCACAGGAAGTGGCCTTCTGTGGCCCAAGAGGGCTGGTGGCACTGCAGTGGGGGATAGTAGGGGTGGTCAGTCTTCTTAAAGGGTTGCTTGTGAGGAAGAAGAGGGAGGAGAAGGGAACCAAAGGATTTAAGAAGTCAAGGGAAGTTGTTTATTTTAATTTCCCATTGGCCAAGGTAAAACATGGCAAATCCTCAAATAGCCTCGACCACACCTGTAATCCCAGCAACCTGTAATCCCAGCACTCTGGGAGGCTGAAGCAGAAGGACTGCAAGTTTGAGCCCAGCCTGGGCAATTTAGCAAGACTCTACCTCAAACAAAAACAAAAACACAAAGCTGAGTATGTAGCTCAATGTGAGGGCCCCGGGTCCAGTACCACAAACATACAAAAAAGAGAAGAAAAGAAGAAAAAAAAAAGTGCAACCTTAATCCCAAGCACCAGCAGGGAGAGAGTGGCAGGGACAAGTTACCTATCATGCACATGTGACCTACCCAAAGCTTTAATTACAGGGCTGGGTATGCAGGACATACCCAGCATGCCTTGCCCCTCCCTGTCCCCAAGCCCAGGCTCTGTAACGTGATAGTCCAGTGCTTGGGGGCTTGACGCAAGCTAATTAGACCCAGCATTGGCAAAAGCTACGCCAAGACACGCTTTGCAGGTCCCGGTGCTAAACTCTGTAGATGGGCACTGGTAGAGAAAGCCACACCCACTACGAGCACCTGCTGCAGGCTGCAACCCCAAGGGGAAGACCCCTAGCCTCTAGGCAGCTGCAACCCAGGTCCGAACTTCAGTGATATTGACACTGCTTGATCCCTGACTAGAATCGGCCTTGCAGAGAATAGGGTAAGAGGCCGTTGTTAGCTCACTGTCCAGAGATGGTCCTGGTGTGTCTGCTGTGTCTCCCCACTTTATTTCATTTATTTTTTGTGGAGGTTTTTTTGGTTTTTGTCTTTGTGAGACAGGGTGTCACTATGTAGTTCAGCCTGCCCTTGAACTACAGGCTGGCCTCAAACTCGGAACAATCCTCCTGCCTTAGAGTGCTGGGATCACAGGCGTGCACCACCATGCTCGGCTTTATTTTGGGGGTTTTGAGACAGGGTCTTACTTTGTAGCTCAGGTTGTCCTTGAACTCAGCTATCCTCCTGCCTGAGCCTCCTGAGGGCTGGGGTGACAGGCATGTGCCACAATGCCAGCTGATAGGATATTGAATTCTGAAGTCAAAGGCCAGGGTGGCCAGGGCGGACCAGGCCCTGGCACAGTCATCTGGCCATTGCAGGGTGTCTGTGTATGGTACGGTGGGCGTGACGAGTCCCTGAGGTGCCATCTGTGTCCCAGTGCAGCACATGAGTGTCTGGGCGAGTGGGGTGCAGGGTGGAGACTGACGGGGACAGGCCCTTCTCTACAGGAGATGGCGTCTACCAGCGGGGCATGGACTTCATCCTGGACAAGCTCAACCACGGAGACTGGGTGCACATCTTCCCGGAAGGTGGGTGGGGCCACAGGGGTTGGGCTGTGAGGGCCCAGTGCCCGGCCTCACCACACTTTCTCTGCAGGGAAGGTGAACATGAGCTCTGAGTTCCTGCGCTTCAAGTGGGGTGAGCCCTGCTGGCTGCCCTTGGCCAGGCGTGTGGGAAGCAGGGGCTGGGGGCCAGGCAGTGACATGAGGGTTACGCAGCTAGTGGGTTTGACTGGGGGCTGGCAGGGTGGCACTGGCTAGGGGGTGGGCAGGGCAGCTGGGCATAGCCCATGCCAGCCTTTCTGCCACTCCCCTGGCAGGAATTGGGCGCCTGATTTCTGAGTGTCACCTGAACCCTGTCATCCTGCCGCTGTGGCACGTTGGTGAGCCCGGGGGACAGACGAGGGGCTCCCTGGGTGGGGCGTGGGAGTTCTGCTGGGCAGGCTCTGTTCCCGGGCTGTCTGTGGTCCCAAAGCAATGTGTGGCCTTCTGTGTCCTGTGCCGCAGGAATGAATGACGTCCTTCCTAACAGCCCACCCTACTTCCCTCGCTTTGGACAGGTAGGTGGGCACTGCCACTACTTATGTCCGTGCATCCGTCTGTCTTCTTGCCTGCCTGTCTGCCGTGTGTGTCCCAGTCCATGCTGCAGAGGACTGGGTTGGAGACCTGCCCCCAGAGCCTTTGGAATAAGGGGTCAGAATGGGACAGGTCATCTAGGATGGGTCCCAGGACTACAATGGCTTAATTTATTTGGTTCATTGAGACAGGGTCTCACTGTGTTGCCCAGGCTGGCCTTGAACTCATGGCAATCCTCCTGCCTCAGCCTCCACAGTGCTGGGTTGGCAGGTGTGCACCACCATGACCAACCCCAGCTCTTGGGTTTTTTTGGTGTCAGGAATCAAACTCAGGACCTTGCGCTTACGAGGCAGGCACAGAGCCACTGAGCTAAATCCGAAGCCCCTCCCTACCCTTTTTTGGAGACAGGGTCTTGCTCTGTAATCCAGGCTGGCCTTGAACTTACTGTGTAGCCCAGGCTGGTCTCAAACACACAGCAATCCTCCTGCCTCAGCATCCAGGGTGCTGGAATTATAGGCATGCACCACCATGCCTGGCTCCCAGCTGCTTGTTTTTTGGTTTGTTTGTTTGGTACTGGGATGGAACTCAGGATCTTGCACTTGCCAGGCAGGCGCAGCACCACTGAGCTACCTCCCCGGCCCTCCAGCTGCTTGTTTTAAGGAGGGAGATCAGAGCTGGGGATGTAGCTCAGTGGCGCCGCACCTGGCTGGCAAGCCCAAGGTCCTGTGTTCCATCCCCAGTACCAAATAAATAGATAAATAGGGAGATCAGTGAAGGAACACATGGCTTATGGGGGTTGGGAGGGAGGACTTGGCTGTGGCTCCAGGGTGGCCAGGGCAGGGATAGTGGTGGCTCCCTGCTGTCATCCAGTGGCCGCCTCCCTCCACAGAAAATCACTGTGCTCATCGGGAAGCCCTTCAGTGCGCTGCCCGTGCTCGAGCGGCTCCGGGTGGAGAACAAGTCAGCCGTGAGTTTCCTCCCAGCCCCTTGGTCTGCCAGGGGGCCACCCATGGTCCCCAGGTCCAGGCCAGCCCAGTCCTCGCCCCCAGGTGGAGATGCGCAAGGCCCTGACCGACTTCATCCAGGAAGAGTTCCAGTGCCTCAAAAGCCAGGCCGAGCAGCTGCACAGCCGCCTGCAGCCAGGGAGCTAGGCCCGAGCCCATCCACCGGCCGCAGCCATCCAGGCCCAGGCCAGTGTGCTGGGCTCAGGGTGGTGCCAGGTGGGCCCAGACCATGTTCAGTGCCTGCTTCCAGCTGGTGCTGCAGCCCAAGGAAGGGCTCTGTGCTGCTGGCCTCTGGGCCATGGAGCCAGAGGAGACTGAGACAGGGCTGCTCCTGGGGCTGGCATTGGGAGGGCCAGAGTGGGCTGGCTGGTGGGGACAGGCAGCTCATGAGGCCATCCAGCCTGGTTCTCCTTGCCCACTTGCCAGTCCAGAAGCTGCTTACCACCTCCTCAGGGATGGCTGTTGCCATGTCTTCCTTTCTTTTTTTTTTGAGACAGGGTTTTGCTCTGTAGTTCTGGCCAATCTGAACTCACTTTGTAGCCCAGTGGCCTGCAACTTTGGGCAATCCTCCTGCCTCATCCTCCTGAGTGCTGGGATGGCAGGTGTGCACTACCATGCCCGGCTCCCATGTCTTCCTCCTTGTAGCCCAAGTTCCTCACTCTGGGCCCTGGCCCTGGGCAGGGTGGTCACAGTAGCCCACAGGCCGTAAGAGCAGAAGATGAGCCCAGGCAGTTTGTGGCAAGGCCTGCCCTGTGCAGGGCCACTGACTGTCCATCCTCCTGCTCTCAAAGCCCGCCTGGCCTGGGTCAGGGTTTCTGGTTTTTAAACAATAAAGCATTTGTGTTGTGCTATTGTACCTCTGGCCTCTCTATAGGGAGGGCAATGGGCAGAGACCTCTGGACAAGAAGGCAGGACTTGCTGGGTGTGGTGGCACTTACCTGTCAACCCAGTACTTATAAGCAGCCCCTTCAGGGGACAGCAGTCAGGCCGCTCAGCAACATGTCTGCACAAGCATGTGATGCGGTGCTGGGGGCTGAACCTAAGGAGCACTGAAGTGCAGCCCCAGCCCTTTAATTTTTGTTTATACTTTGAGACAGGGTCTCACAAAGTTGCTCAGGCTAACCACAAACATGCTATCCTGCCTCAGCCTCCTGAGTAGCTGGGACTACAGGCATGTACCACCACGCCTCGCTTACATGCACACCTCTAAACCCATAGGAAAAAGAAAAATTCTATTATTGTTATTTTTAAATTTTTTTGCAGCACTGGGGATTGAACTCAGGACCTTGCACTTGCAAGGCAGGTGCAGTGCCACTGACCTAAATCCTTGGCCCACGAAAAATTATACTTGAAATTAAATATTTATGTTCTTTAATTTTTTGTTTGTTTTTTTGAGACAGGGTCTTCCTATGTAGCCCAGGCTGGCCTTGAACTCCAGTAATCCTCCTGCCTCAGCCTCCCCAGTGCTGGGATGACAGGTGTGTGCCACCACGCCCAGCAAAATTATTTAGACTTGAGAGGGAATCAAAACATTACCACAAACCTAGCAGAATGCAGTGAATAAAGGATCCAGAGGGCAATCTGTAGCCTTAAAGTTTATGTTAGGAAAGAAGGAAGGGTGGAAATTAGTGAGCTGGGCATCTGTTTCAAAAGTTAGAAAGCAGGGCTGGGAATTTAGCTCAGTGGTGCTGCGCCTGCCTCGAAAGCACAAGGTCCTGGGTTCGATCCCTGGTACTGGAAAAAAAAAGAAACAGCTGGCATGGTGCCTACCTGTAATTGCAGCACTGAGGAGGCCGAGGCAGGAGGATTCCTGTGAGTTTGAGGCCAGTCTGGGCTACATAGTTTAAGACCAGCCTGGACTATACAGTGAGACACTGTCTCAGAAATAAAATGAAATAAAAAGTTAGAAACATGGCTTAAACCAAAGAAGGTAGAAGGGTGGAGTTAAGTAAGGTCAGCCTGGCATATTCAAGGCCCTAGGCCCGACCCCCACCACCACAAAAGTAAATCAGTAATGCAAGTAAGAGCAGAGAGGATGACAGGAAACATAATGGAGAGGAGCACAAACACCAATAACTGGTCCTTTGAAATGGCTGACAACTGGGGGCTGAGGCAGGAGGATTACCATGAATCCAAGACCAGCCTGGGCTACACAGCGAAATCCTGTCTCAAAAACACCAAATAAAATATTTATAATTTTAAAATTGGGGAGGGGAGGGAAGGTGATTGGGAGAAAAAGAGGAATCAAACTGTATCATGCACAGGTACAAACCCCCTTTGATGAATGTGATCATTATGTATATTTAAATTATACCAATAAAATTAATGATAAAATAAAATTTCCCTGGGTTTGAGCCAGGCGAGGTGTTGCACACACCTGTCATCCCAGCAACCAGGAGGCTGAGGCAGGAGGATCATTGCGAATTCAAGGCCAGCCTGGGCTACATAGTGAGTACTGAGACCCTGGCTAAAAAAACATCAGCAACAAAAAGAAGATGGGAGGGGGCCGGGGATTTAGCTCAGTGGTTTCGCCGCCTGCTGCGCAAGCGCAAGGACCCAAGTTCGATCCCTGGTACCAAAAAAAAAAATGGGAGGACTTGCTCCATCAGGCATTAGGTTTTATTATTGATATTATAA